GGGAGGTGCAAAATAGTCATACCATGGGCAAAATTTCCTTATTGTGGCCAAGTTGTTCTGACGCTCGATACCATTTAGGCATGGGCAAATTAGACTGTTTGCTTTACTAAAACCCAAAGTGAGTAGCTGTTGTGGTGATAAACCACAAGAGTGAAGTTTTCGATAGACGGTTTTGGTCCAGGCGCTCTTGTGACAATCTTGCAGCACTGGGGATATTAGACTGGGGGGATTTGAGTTTAGGCGAAGCCAATAGTTAAATGTCCTACGCCAAATAGCCACCATGTGCACAGGATGCTGGACCAGATAGGCCAGTGGTCTGATCCTGCTGGGCTCTTCTTATGTTCTTATGACCCCTTCCTAATATTGAAAGGGAGGGAATTCCAGAGGGTATATATCAGTCTGAAGCCATGAGCATCTTCATCCCCACCTCAATTTCAAGCCCTGCTGCTGCCCCCCTCCTTCCCAAGTAGACATGTCCATAACAGCAGTAGAGCACATCCTTTTCTCCACAACAGGAGCAACGAGATCTTCTGCTTAACTGTTTTGCCAGGCCGTTAAGCTTTCAGGGCAGTCGGAGGATGGTTTTGGCTTGGCGCATGATCCATCCCCTTTGTTCACTAGGCTAGGTTTGGTGGCACTGTGGCCTAAACCACCAAGCCTCTTGGGCTTGCTGATGAGAAGGTTGGCAGTTTGAATCCCTGCAATGGAGTGAGCTCCCGTTGTTCTGTCCCAGCTCCTGTCAACCTAGCAGTTCAAAAGCACACCAGTGCAAGTAGATAAATAGATACCCCTGCGACGGGAAGGTAAAACGGTGTTTCCGTGTACTCTGGTTTCCGTTACAGTGTTCTGTTGTACCAGAAGTGGTTTAGTTATGATGGCCACATGACCCAGAAAACTGTCTGCGGCCTGAAAGCAGGATGAGCGCCGCAACCCCATAGTTGCCTTCAGCTGGACTTAGCTGTCTAGGGGTCATTTACTTTTTTTTATTTTTTAAGCAAGTAAAGGTCACCTAGTGAACATCATAGCTGGTCAGGAGCCCAAGCCCAATTTGCCAGCTCCCTATTAGTCCACCCTAATGAAGTGGTTCATTATTAAGCTATGTACAGTGGTACCTCGGGTTACAAACACTTCGGGTTACAAACTCTGCTAACCCGGAAGTAGTACCTTGGGCTGAGAACTTTGCCCCAGGATGTGAATGGAAATTGCGCAGCGGCAGCAGGAGGCCCCAATAGCGAAAGCACGCCTCAGGTTAAGAACGGTTTCGGGTTAAGAATGGACCTCTGGAACGAATTAAGTTTGTAACCCGAGGTACCACTGTACTGCTACATCTGAGGTACACCTGTGCTTCTTTCTACTGCAAAGAGAGGGAGCCTGCGGCCCTCCAGGTATACTGGACTATGTTTCCCATCATCCCTCACCATTGGCCATGATGACTGGCCCTAACGGGATCTGAATTCCATCAATATCTGGAAAGCCAAAGGCTCCCCAGCCCTGATTCTATTGAATCATCACAGCTGCCTGCACTTTTGGACTTCCCTTGGTGACATGACTATGGGTGGCGTCACTTTGATATTGATCACTCTACTGTGGGCTTAACTGTTTTCCCCTCAGAGGAGCTTTGAAGCTCACACAAAGAGGAGTCACAAAGGGGTGGGTGGGTGTGATGTTTGTGTGAAGGAGCCAGAATCGCTTTCACCACCTTCCATTCCAAGGGCTGCTGAGGTACACATCGTAAGAACATTAGGATGCTGTCCTGTCTTGAGTCAGGCCGCTGGTCCGTCTGGTTCAGTATTGCCCACACTGACTGGCAGCAGCTCTCCAAGGTCTCGGGCAGTTGCCATTTCCCCAGCTCTACCACGTGACGCTAGGGGTTGACCGTCTGCGTGCAAAGTGGACCGTCTGCCACTGAGCTAGGACCCTTCTACACAGAAGACTGCAGCCTCAACTCCCCACTCTTCCTCAGAAAAGCTTTGGAATGCTCAAGAAGTCACAAAGGTTGGTGTTTGCTGGCGCTGTATATTGATGGGGAACCAGAAGCATGTTCCGCAGCTTATGTGTGTGTGTGTTGGTGTGTACCCAGAAGCATATTCACCACTGTATGGGTATTTGCATATGAAGAGGAGTTTGGATTTGATATCCCGCTTTATCACTATCCAAAGGAGTCTCAAAGCGACTAACATTCTCCTTTCCCTTCCTCCCCCACAACACTCTGTGAGGTGAGTGGGGCTGAGAGACTTCAGAGAAGTGTGACTAGCCCAAGGTCACCCAGCAGCTGCATGTGGAGGAGCGAAGATGCGAACCCGGTTCACCAGATTACGAGTCCACTGCTCTTAACCACTACACCACACTGGCTCTCTATACTGGTTGCTAACTTCACCACTCTCTCTCTCTCTGTGTGCATATCTTTTATATGTACATTCATACCTCATGTTATGTCTGCTTCATGTTATGTTCTTTCAGGTTACGTCCCGCAGCGACCCGGAAGTACCGGAAAGGGTTACTTCCGGGTTTTGCAGCTCACGCATGAGCAGGAGCGGCGAATCAAAACCTGCGCGTGTGCAGATGAGCCGCTGCAGGTTGCGTTCCTTTCATGTTGTGAACGGGCCTCCGGAACGGATCCCATTCACAACCAGAGGTACTGCTATACGTGGTAAGCCCACAGCTTCTGTGCATTTAACTTATGTGCATACACACTTGGCAAAAAAAATGGGAAAAAATAAAAAAGGTGGTAGACTTCCAGAAAAAAAAGACTTTAGCACATGCCATCGGCTCCAATATGTTTTGACTGTACATGATTTTGGCTTTAGGTGCGATCCCAGAACGTAACCCCCACATAAGTTGTGGGCTTACTGTATTTATGTGTGCGTACCCAGGGGTATCTTCACCAGCTTATACACCTGTGCGCATGTATGTGTACATTTATTACGGTGTACCCAGATGTATCTTCACTGTAGATGTGTCTGTATATAAATATGTGCATATTAGGGTGTACCCAGACGCATCTTCACCACTCTCACCTGACAGTAAGAGCTGTTCGACAGTGGAATTTGCTGCCAAGGAGTGTGGTGGAGTCTCCTTCTTTGGAGGTCTTTAAGCAGAGGCTTGACAACCATATGTCAGGAGTGCTCTGATGGTGTTTCCTGCTTGGCAGGGGGTTGGACTCGATGGCCCTTGTGGTCTCTTCCAACTCTATGATTCTATGATTCACTTCAGATGTACGTACATGTGCGCTCTGATGTACCCAAGAGCATCTTCATTATGTGTGTGTACTACAGGGGTGCCAACTTGAATAAAATATGGGGGGGGTGTAATCTGAGCCCTGCATAATTGATCAAAAGACGCAGCACACACACACCATGTGAATGGCAACAGTGCCAACTTTGGGGGTGCCTGGCCCCCTCACATATTTTATTGGAGTTGGCTCCTATACAGTCGTACCTCAGTTCTCGAACGCCCCGGAACTTGTACGTTTCTCCTCCCGGACAATCGAAAACCGGAAGTGAGAGTTCCGGTTTTCAAACGTTCTTTTGGAAGCCAAATGTCCGATGGGGCTTCTGATTGGCTGAAGGAGCTTCCTGCAGCCAATCAGAAGCTGTGCTTTGGAAGTTGAACGTTTCGGAAGTCGAAGGGACTTTCGGAACGCATTCCGTTTGACTTCCGAAGTACAACTGTATTTATTTGCTCAATAAAATGTCTACACTGCTTGATTGTTAAAAAAAGGAAATCCTCAAAAGCGGTCTACGAAAACGGCAAAACCGAGAGGGGGGAAAATAGATAAATATTGCAGCCATGCTTTGAAACATACAGGAAGTTTTGGGAATTACCGTATACGGACAGAACTACCCAAACTGTATAGGAATCTATTCATGTATGATACTACAGCGGCAAGAATGTTACTTGCCCAAAAATGAAAGAAGTCCCAGTGAAAGAAGAACAGATACCAAAACTTATGGAACATGCAGAAATGGCGAAACTTACCGTAAGAAAAAGAAACCGATATAACTTTTTTATGAATAAAAGAATGGAAACGGTTTACTGAATATTTACAAACTGTAAACAGATAAGAACATCGGCAGGATTATTGCAATAACCTACAGTTTTATAAGAGTGTACATTTAAAGTAGATGGATCCCTGAGCAAATTAATTTAGAATATGCAGGGAAATATATAAAAAATAATTAAGGAGCTGCTGGTAGACGGGGGGGGAGGAGTTCCGAAAGGTTAAAACGACTGTAAAATTTGACTTCCGTGTGTGTGATGTCATATGATATGTTGTTAGTTAGTGTTTAGTTGTTATGAGGGTATTGGTTTGTGTTGTTTTTTATTCAGTACTTTTGTACTGTTTTATTGTTGTTAGCCGCCCTGAGCCTGGCTTCGGCTGGGGAGGGCGGGATATAAATAAAATTTATTATCTCTTCTTCTTATTATTATTATTATTATGCAGTATGTTTTTTATGTAGTACAGTGGTACCTCAGGTTAAGTACTTAATTCGTTCCGGAGGTCCGTTCTTAACCTGAAACTGTTCTTAACCTGAAGCACCACTTTAGCTAATGGAGTGTCCTGCTGCCGCCATGCCGCTGGAGCACAATTTCTGTTCTCATCCTGAAGCAAAGTTCTTAACCTGAAGCACTATTTCTGGGTTAGCGGAGTCTGTAACCTGAAGCGTCTGTAACCTGAGGCACCACTGTATGTAAATTGTTCTGCAATAAAGCTTTAATATTTTTTTTTAAAAAAGACTGTAAAATTATGGAAACGTATAAAATGGGAAATCGCGAATAAAATAATGATGATGATGAAGAAGCATACATAAAGTTGAAATTCCCCAAACTGGAAATTCCAAAATCATGTGCCTGCGTTATCTATCGGCAGGAGGTGCCTGCCCCATAATAACCCCCTCGTGGAACGCGGTGGGGGGGGCGACTCCCCCCACCCCAAACGACGCCTCCCCTCCCCCCCCTCCCGCTCGCCTCCGCCTCCTCCCCCCTCCCTCCTTCCCGCCCGGCGCGTGTCAACTCCAGGAAGCGCAGGGTCTATGTAGCCGCCTCGTCCGCAGCCGCCGCCGCCATGCATTGTGGGGCAGCGGCAGCAGATCCAAGATGGCGGCCAGCAGGAGGCTGATGAAGGTAACATCCGAGAGCTCGCCCGCCGGGCAGGGCCGGGGCGGGGTGGGGAGCGGCGGGAGGCTCTTCGCGGGCCGGGCGGCGGAGGAGAGCGGTCCCTTCCCGGCTCCCGAAGCCCCCGCTCCCCCGCTTTCCCCTTTTCCCCCCCGGCTCGGGCCGCCGGAGCCGCTTCCGCTTCGCTCTCCCCTCTCTCTTTTTTCGCCTCCTCCGCCGGCGCCTGAGGGAAGCGTAGGCCTCGGCTCCCGAGAGCGCCTCGGGAAGGGGCTGGAGGCCGGCGGCGGTAGCGGAGGCTTCTCCTCCGCCTCTTCCCTCCTCACACCGGCGGCCGCGGCCCGAGAAGGGGCTCCCGCGGTGACTAAGCAAAGGGCGGGATGGCGGCGGCGGCGGCGGCGCCCTCCTCCTCGCTCCGGGCAACCCGCGTCCATTGGGGCGTCTCCGGGCTGGGGGAGCTCGGGGGCCCCCTCCGTCCAAGCCAGCCCACCCCACTCGCCGGGCCGGGGAGGAGGGAAGGCGGCGAGCCCAGACCCCGCTTCGGATTCGGGGCGGAGTGTCGCCGGGAGTGGGAGGAGGTGGGTGGTGGCTTCCGACGCTACAAAAGAGGAGACTCTTTCGAAGTCGGTCCTTTGTGGGAACTGTGGAGGGGGGGAAAATAAAGAATAAATCGTTATTTTTGCTCCAGTAGGTGTGGGGTGGATCTCTCTTTTCCTTTTTAAAAGAATAATGGAAATTCTCCCACGTTTCTCGCCATCCCCCTCTCTTGAGTAAGCTGAAAACGGGTTCAAAAGTCACTTCAGGTGGGGATGGCTTTGCTGCCTCCTTCCTTTTTTTCCTTTTCCCGCGGCCCTCCTTCAAAAAGCCATCAGATCTTCCAAAGTTACTTCTTCAGGCACGGGATCAAAGCGGTGGCTTTTTATTCGGTTCTGGGGTTATGTAAGGAAGGAGATCTCTCCCCCCCCCCCCAACCGGCAAGGATGGGCAACAAAAGAGGATGGGTGGGAGCTTTGGAAAGCATGTGCCACAATAACGACTTGGCGTATACTTGGGAGTAAGTGTGACTACGTTCAGTGAGTTTGCAGCCCAGATCGGTTAGGCTTTTTAAGATGACACATATCCTGTGAATTAGTTTCGTTTTGCCCGGACAACGGATTAACACTGTACCAGTCCAGAGGAGGCTATGTTGTTCCCCTGGAGTGATGCAGTCATATCTAGGATGAGAGAGTGACGTTTGATCCACAGCCTTCATAAACACAGATTAAAAGCTGTTCTGCATATGCATCATCAGTTTTTGCGTCACTATTAACGCATTCCTTTCACTAACTTGTATCGTTTACATCCAGATACGGCTTTTGCAGCTGTTGTAGCATGACAGATTGTATTGTAATTGCGCTGCAATATTTGACGAAAAAGGTGCCCCTGATGAATTTATCACAAGTTCGTCAAATTCCCATTAGTGGCAAGCTTCATCATAGAAGAGGCATTTCTCATTTTGTTTTTCACAAGAGGGAATGCCTCTTCTAAGATACCTGTCATGAATAACAGTTGGTTTTGTTTTGCTTAAGAGATTCTTAATCATAAACCTGAAGGAGCGTATCCACCCCCTCATTCAGCGCAGACACTGAGGTCCAGCGCCGAGGGCCTTCTGGCGGTTTCCTCACTGCAAGAAATGAGGTTACAGGGAAGCAGGCAGAGGGCCTTCTCGGTAGTGGCGCCTACCCTGTGGAACGCCCTCCCACCAGATGTCAAAGAAATAAACAACTATCTGACATTTAGAAGACATCTGAAGGCAGCCCTGTTTAGGGAAGTTTTTAATGACTGATGGGCTGGGTATAAATAATAAGTTGTTGTTGTTGTACTGTGCATATGTAATTAGTTATATGGCATTTAGTCAATGAACTATGTTTATAATTGGGTACAGGCATAGTAAGGTAGCTTTCTAATTTATTTGGTGAGTAAAGTTTACTGTCCAGAACTTGAGAAATGTGTGGACAATTGAATAAATTATGTCATTGAAATTGTTTTAATTCTTCTTAGGTGCTGACTGGGAACAGATTTCACTTGGGAAGCTCTTACAACTGTATATAAATCCTAACAGTTTTACCATTTGTGTAGTCAGTTTTTACTGTCAGCATGGCTTTAAGCTTATGTGTAAAGCAAAAGTTGGGGTGGGTTCTTGTTTCAAGAAATAACCTGTTCTTTTAATTTTAAAAAAATACTTAAATCCACTCTCTCTGTGTTGATATGCAGAGATAATAGTCTTGTACTTTTAGAAGAAGAGTGAACCGCCCTGAGGTATACGTGCCTAGGGTGGTATACAAGTTCAACAAATAATTATGATAAGAGCAACTATATTTCCTTGTCGTCCCACCCGCACCACCCATCTGTCCTTAAAACAGTCATTTGCATGTTTTTGACTAATAGTATGCAGTTCCTAAAAAGTTTAAGAGGCAAATATATGAATATCTGCACAGGAGAGAGTGCAGGACTTTCAGTGTATTTTCTGAACCCATACCTATGCTGGTAGGATTTACACACGTAATTATAATATTGGTGTTTTAGACCTGTAGAGATTGTAACTAGAGCTGTAGTTCTCAAGCCGTTTGCTGCATATGGTAAATAAGTAATTTTGGACAAAATATAACATGCAGCTCTCCAGCATATGATGCTGGTCCTGATGCTGTCTACCAGGATGGGCAAATTCTTTCCCTAGGACTGCTTGCAGCCTTCGGCCTAAGTGTAGGTGTGTGATGAATCTGGAAAGAGATGTGGAAACTGGGGTGGGGATATGCTTAAATGGAGCAATGAAAGTAGGGGGGGATCTCTCTTGTCAGTGATTATTTCAGGCCTCTTGCAAAAGAGATCTATCTCCTCTTAACCCCCTACCTGGTAGCACACTAGATGGAAAGGAAAAGGAGGAGGGAGAGAAGGGTGTGGCAGAAAGCTGGAATAACATAGGCCTTGCTCAAAACTGGTTGTGGCCCTTCACACTCCTGACAGGTGGCCCTCAGTGGATTACCCCTAAGGGAACATGGCCTTTGACAGAAAAAAGAAAAAGAAGGTTCCCTACCCTTGCTGTAAGCCTGAGCTACTGATGTTAATGATATAGATGTACAGAATGCTGCCAGCATGTATATACGTTTGTGTGTTAATCTTCGCTCACCGCCCATGCATATCTGTTTGCTATAGCAAAGGTGGTGATGTAATCAGCATTTCCTTCTGAAGGAGGCCAAGAAAGGACATTATTCGTTATTGAAAAGGAAAGTGAAACTTTCGTACTTATATCTGAAATGTTCCCCTCCAGGGTCTGTTCTTTGCTTAGTCTACTTCTCAGTTTAATAATATTTGCTGAATGAAGCACAGATTAAAAACGTAGTTTTAACCTAAGTTGCTTTTAATCTATATACTCTATTAGAAGTTATTAGTAAATTGCCAATTATATTCCTCACTGGTTCTAAAACTTAAACATGGCTCATTTAATGTTGATTTCAGTGAGAGCTTCACAGAATAATAATTATCAGGTACCGTATTTTGTATCTGAGCCATGAACCACTTTGTCCATAAGGAACCCCTCCTTTATGTTTATTTAATTCTACTTGTATTTACCACTACTAGTCTGATATTAGGTTTTGATCTAAAATAATGTTTCCATAATATGAGATAGCATCATGGCAGCGTAAAGCAGTAGAAATTCTGGGGACTGTGTGTCCTTTTATTGACTGGCTTCTGTAATTTGTCATTCTCTCTATTTTTAACTTGGTGGGCTACAGGTTCCACAACCCTGAATTAGATCTGGGCATATAGATGAGAATTAGGATTTTACAAAAGTAAATGTTGAATCTGAAAGAAAAGACTATTTTAATATTGTAATAAACTTCTTGCCTGTTACAAGGGTTATCTTATATACCCTCTTTTATATAGTATTTTGAAACAGACAGTTACTGATGAACTACTAAGAACTATCTACAGAAACTGAAATAACTGGAATTTATTGGAAAGCAGAGATTCTCAGGCCTTGTCATAGCAAACCTTTCCCCATGGTAAAATATTTTTAAGATAATTTAAATAGGGTGATTACATATTCAAACAGTTAGGTGGTTGACAGAAGTAAGTAAATGGAATATAAACATTAAGAATTGCCTCTTAGAGCATTTCCAGGATATATTTTAGTAGAAGGGGTGGGGAATCTGTGGCACCCCAGATGTTGTTGGACCTCCAGCTTCCATCATTCTTTGCCATTGGCCATTCTGGCTGCAGTTAATGCTGCCTGGGTAATACTCCTGCTTTAAACAGTGAGTGGACATCTGAAACCTGGTTTTACATGGAATCTAGAGCTCTTTACTCAAGTTTGTACTTGTGTTTAGAAGTTAATTCATTTTCTGAACACTAAAGGGAAGTGGAGTCATCATTTCCCACCCTACCCTAGAGGATGCTCATCCATTGCTGTTTCAATGGCTGCATGGCAGGTGATTGTCTTAAGTGCAGCTTGTGTCTGTTGGAAGTGGTCTGTAACTGGTGGTAAGCCAGACACACTTCTGAAGTTTTGAATGTTTTTATTGTCTTCCATAAACACGGTTTTAACAATGAGTCCGTAAGTGACTGTGGAGGCCAGTTCTGGATCCACACGTCCTTCCACAGTGGGGACATTGGTTTCCGGGCGGGAGTTGATCACAGTGTGGATTTGCCAAGCATGCCTTCCTCTTAGCACATTTCTCCCTTTGTCCTGAGTTTGAGTGTCTTCAAAGGCCGTGACACCTTTGGTAAAGGCTGTTCTCCAACTGGAGCGCTCGCAGGCCATTGTTTTCCAGTTGTCAGTGTTTATACTACATTTTTAAAGATTTGCCTTTGGTCAAAGGTCTGGAAACGATGCCTTATGAGGAACGGCTAAGGGAGCTGGGCATGTTTAGCCTGGAGAAGAGGAGGTTAAGGGGTGATATGATAGCCATGTTCAAATATATAAAAGGATGTCATATAGAGGAGGGAGAAAGGTTGTTTTCTGCTGCTCCAGA